CTCCTTGAGTTCTCTCCAGCGCTGGAAAGCTGATCTGATATTTACACAGGTCCTACTTCTTGCCTTATTGCCTTAAGCCTTCGTTTGTTCCGCAGACGTTTTCCTCTTTTGTTTATTATCCGCCATCTCTATCTTTCTGTCGCTCGGCTCGCTAATATCCGTCGTGTGCACTGAACGCTCTCTCCTCCACATCATGAGTAGACACGCCCCTTACTGCTGATTGGCTACAAGTTTGTTTTGCTACTCGGCCCGAATCAGTTTTCTAAAGCGTTTTTGAAAAATCGCTTACCCCACCTTTAATGGTCTTGAAATTAGTTTGCCAAGTTCTATCTGCATTTTTTTCATGTTTCTGCTGATGTTCCAGGTTTTTATGTATCTATGTCAGATATACTGTATATACATAATCTATTTTTCCACCCCTAAATTGTGTGAAATGGGGTAAAAATGTCTATAGATGCAGCACAAAGACATTGTTGTAACATTGTCCCAGTCTAGACCTGCCAGACAAAACACTGCAGAAGTTGCAGAACATTGTTTTTTTGTGTTTTTTCATTCACAAACTGAATGCAAAAATATCTTTGAAATGATGCTGTGAATCATTGAAAGTTTATTACTGTGCTAAGGTTGAGTAGTTTAACTGTTTATGGAGCTTATGGACTTTGTTTAGTCAGATTTTCAGTCTACAGTTTCTTGTTAGTTATTTTAGTTAACCAGCACAGACAAGATGATAGTCACTAAGACCTTGTAAAACAAAAGTTGCTGAAATTGAAAAGTAATTTTTGTATTTTTGTCAGATAAAAGCTGTACTTTTCATACTTGTTTAGTATTCAGTCAAATTTCTAAATAATTATCCCAATTAGAACGTAATCTGAAAAGTGGGTTTATTTCAGGAATAAAATTTTTATGCTGATAAAAGCATAAATTTCATTATATCTGGTACAGAGAAACTTACTATGCAATATTATGCAGTTATGTAGCCTTGTGTTTTTTTTGTTTTTTTTTTATTGTAGGCACAATACATGAGGCACACATGTAAAATGTGTAAAAAAAAATATGCTCTTCAACACAAAGATGCTCAATTACTAAATAACATAAATAATTTACAATGATAAGATGAGAAATGTTCGTGTTTGGCGACATAACACGAGTTCATAGGGACGGAGGAATTAAAAAAAAAGCAGCTATAAACTACACTTCCCATGATTCATTAAGGCAGGAACTCCCGCTATCAGCCAATCATCAGTCAGTATTCCAGCACATGGCCGTCTAGGTCAACTGGACACGAGTTCGCGCTGCTAAGCAAAACATTAGTCTTTTATATAGTCATGACGAAGCCTGATACCAGACAGTTGTCTTGTGCAGTATTATTCCACATTTAGCATTTCTCAACACCCTGATCGGCAGAATATCCTCAGGTAGGTTTTGCTGAAGTAGTCTGGTGTTACAGTGTGTTGTTCGGGTTTAACTGGTTTCCGTGTTATCTAGTGACTAATTCCAGCTGTGAACAATCCGCCGCAGATTCGTCATTTCTGCAAACATGTACAACATATGTCCATTACAATTAAACGTTCTCACTACGCGATGTTGGTATCATTTGTAAAAGTAAAAATAAGTGATTTCATAATAAGGTCTTAAAAGCCTGGTCGTTTCGTAATTCGAGCTCGTCCAAAAGAAGTGCAGTCATTTGCCTTTGTTGCGGACAATCTGATTGAGCTAATTCCTTGAGAATTGCTTGAAATGGGTGGTCCTTGATTTCCAAAGCATTAACAATTTTTTTCTGTTATATTACAATGGGTTGGGCTTGTGTTAACTTGTGCCTTATGCTCACAAGCTTACTATTATGGAACGCAATAGCCTACTTCATAAATTGCCATTCATTGAAGACACCGTGCATTTGTCAATAATTTGAAGGAAATAAGAATAATATTGTGAGACATGTCAGCTTCACATTTCCTTTGCAACCTTTTAATGCTGAAATTCTATGTAACATGAGAAACATTATAAATGAGGGACTCATGCATAACTATTACAAAAGGTGAAAACATTTACTGATGCTCAAGAAGGCCAGGCAATGCATTAAGAGACGGGGGGTGTAAACTTTTGAACAGGATGATGATGTGTAAATTCTTCTCATTTTGTTTAACGATAATATGTTTTCATTTAGTACTGGACTTCAGAAGCTACATAAACACTTACATGTTTCCCAGAAGACAAAAGATCATCCAATTAAAAAAGTTTACACCCCCGTCTATTATTTTCGGTTTAATATTAAATATTTAAGAGTAATTTTTGAAATGTTTTAAATGTAATCAAATGTTCCACAATTGAGAGCGATATGTCTATTCTATTCTATTTATTATGGTAATTTTAGTCATGTTTTATTGAATTTATTTAAACAAAATTTGCAGGATACGTATAAGAGCTGTATTTTTAAAGGTTCTTTTTTTATTTGAATTATTGGAGTAATTTTGACAGGTTTTATTGAATTAATCAAAGTCTTCATGATTCTAATTATTATGGTAATTTTTCTAATATTTCATTGAATTAATTTAATCAAAACTTGCATGATACATATAATAGCTGTATTTTATATAGATTCTTTTTGTTTTAATTATTAGGGTAATTTTAGAGTAATTATAGTAATTTAATCAAAGTGCAATTTCAGAAATCACTGCTATTTCTATTCTGTTCTAATTTCAATTCTCTTTGAAGATCAGAATTCTATTTGTCTTTTAGCTCAATTCTCAAAATAACAGGATACAGTAGAAAATATGCATGCGGGTACTTACAAATGACCTTTAAGTCCTTAAGCAATTTAAAGTTGCAATATGTGCATATGTAAATAACAGTCCAAGATACATAATTGCATATTTATTCATTTGGCAGATTCTGTATGCGCATTCGGTGAATTCAAGTTATACATTTTCACAGGTTTCTGCAATTGCATAAGTATCTCTTTATGGCACTGCATAAATAATGTGTTATTTTTAGATTTTTAGATTTGCTGTCAAACGATTAATCGCATTCAAGATAAAAGTTTTTGTTCACGTAATATATTATGTGTGTGTACTGTGTATATTTATTTTGTATATATTAATACACACACATGCATGTGTATTAGATATATTTAAGGAAAATGTTATGTTTATATATTCAATATATATATATATATATATGTGTATATGTGTGACCCTGGAGCACAAAAGCAGTCTTAAGTCGCTGGGGTATATTTGTAGCAATAGCCAAAAATACATTGTATGGGTCAAAATGATTGATTTTTCTTTTATGCCAAAAATCATTAGGATATTAAGTAAAGATCATGTTCCATGAAGATATTTTGTAAATTTCCTACTGTAAATATATTAAAACTCAATTTTTGATTAGTAATATGCATTGCTAAGAACTTCATTTGGACAACTTTAAAGGCGTTTTCTTAATATTTTGATTTTTTTTGCACCCTCAGATTCCAGATTTTCAAATAGTTGTATCTTGGCTAAATATTGTCCTATCATAACAAACCATACATCAATGGAGAGCTTATTTATTCAGCTTTCAGATGATGTATAAATCTCAATTTCGAAAAATTGACCCTTACGACTGGTTTTGTGGTCCAGGGTCACATATGTATTTTCAACATATATACTGTATGTGTATGTATTTATATATACATGACAAATATACACAGTACACACATATATTGTGTAAACCAAAACTTTTATTTTGGATGTGATTAATCGCGATGAACCATTTGACACCACTAATCTGTATTATATCTTTCAGCACCTCAGATCATAAAGTCACCATCAGCTGTCCATCATGTCCATGTTCAGCACCGGTATCCTGGTCCTTACGTCTCCGTTACACGTCCTCCCTCTCCGCATCGCGCCTGTCCTCACGTCTGCCGCCCAGGTGGTCGAGCGCACACTTTACGTCCATCTCCACCCCGGCCTCAACCTGGGCACAGGTGGGCAGGTGCGGCCCGCCTACATCCCGCCCGTGGTGGATCTCTGCACTCTCATCTCCTGCCTTTACAGCAACGCCGCTGACATTTGTGCGCACCTTGACGTCAGAGTGCTGCTCAGTAACGTCCGCACCCAATCTGCGGTGTTGAGTGGAAACAACGGCCCTTTTTCCACCCCGCAGACGCTGTCCCACTCGCCAGAAGTAGTGCTCACAGACTTCCCCATCCAGGATTCAGGCCAGTCCTCGCTGGTCACCCAGTGCTTGCAGAAGTACGCGGGTCACTGCTACGTCTGCAAACCGAGTCTCTCATCTGTGCTTTTGTACCCGCGACTAAAAGAGGTTGAGGAAGATGATGATGATAGAAGAGGAAGAGGTGCACAATTAAAACCTTTAGAGACGTTCAGTGATGTGGTGGTTGGCGGCACTTTTGACCGTCTGCATGGCGCCCACAAGACCCTGCTGAATATTTCCTGTCTGATGGCCAACAGACGCTTTGTCATTGGTGTGTGTGACCAGGAACTACTAAAAAGTAAGTGGAGACCCTCTAGAAATCTTTAAAGAAATAGTTTGCCCAAAAACTAAAATTTGGCCATTCAAGATGTAGATGATTGTGTTTCTTCATTGAAACAGATTTGGAGAAATGTAGCATTAAGCCTCGTACACACCGGGACGATTATCTCGCGCGCTTATCGCCGACGTTTTTCGACGCGTCTTTTGTGTTCATACCCAAGTGATTTTCGCAGGCGATGAGCCGAGTGAACGTGCAAATTCACTCCCTGACATTAGATGGCGCTTAATGAAAAATACCCCGGTACACATTTAATCCTATTTGATCTGCAATTCCTCTCCATAACAACTCCCTCTTATCGAGATTTTCGTAGTCGCTGTCGCGTTTGTCATAAAGCCCTTTGTATGAAGGTAGAATGACGTCAAAAAGATTTGCATATGCAGGGTAAGAGTTGTGGAAGTGTACATAAGACTGTAAGCGTAAATTAAATTTGCATGCGCAAGAGAAGACTAAACTTTAATAATACTTTTTTTAATTTAATACTTTAATAAATATGTCTTTAATAATGTCTAAATATATATCCAAATACAAGTAACTAATTATGTGGGAATCCAAAGTTCCCATTCTACCTTCATACCTTTGTGTTCAGACACCAATGAGACCAGCAGCATCTTGCCTCGATGCATCTTCTTGGTCTACTTACTTCCTCTTTGTCGTTAGGTATCAATGTGTGCTCGGCAAGACCGTTTTGTGCTTGAGCGCCACCAAGTCGTGTTTTACTGTAACTTCAGCAGCTCCAGGCACGTGAACAAAAGCGGCAATCTCATTGGTCGGCCAGTTTTTAAAGCGTCGCGTCAAACCAAAAAAACGAGTTTGAGGCGTTTTTTAAAAAATTACGCTTTTACGCCTCGCGTTTTGCGCGTCGGTGTACACACTCACATTGGCGCCCTTTGTTTAGTCAGGAGTCGTTAAAGGGGTCATATGATGCTGCTAAAAATAACATTATTTTGTGTATTTGGTGTAATGAAATGTGTTTATGCGGTTTAAAGTAAAAAAAACGCTTTTACGCCTCGCGTTTTGCGCGTCGGTGTACACACTCACATTGGCGCCCTTTGTTTAGTCACGAGGCGTTAAACATCGGCGATAAATCGTGCGTGATATTCGTCCCGGTGTGAACAAGCCTTTACGTTACTTGCTCACCAATGGATGCTCTGCAGTGAATGGGTGCCGTCAGAATGAGAGTCCAAACAGCTGATAAAAACAATAATCCACAAGTAATCCACACCACTCCAGTCCATCAATTAACATCTTGAGAAACAGAAAGATGCATGTTTGTAAGAAACAATCTATCATTAATGCATTTTGCTCGTATTTTAGCCAGAAGCAATAGTTTGAAGTTAAAAACGTCTTAATGATAGATTTGTTTCTTACAAACATGAAGCTTTTCGCTTTAAGACATTAATTGATGGACTTGGAGTGGTGTGGATTCTGACTCATTCTGACGGCACCCATTCACTGCAGAGCAGCCACTGGTGAGCAAGTGATGGAATGCTACATTTCTCCAAAAAGGCTCTAAAAAGGCTTTATGAGTTTGTCTACTTGGTTATTTGGTATCTGGATGAATATCTAGTAAGGTTTGAGATGTTTTGCCACCATTGTTATCAAGTGATAAACCACTTGAAAATGTGACAATACAGTTTGGCCCGGGAAAAATGGCTAATTTTGTAGTGCATTCTTAAATGTGTCCTGCTTTTTGTATAGATAAGGTCTTGAATGAGTTGATAGAGCCGTACGATCAGCGTGTGCAGAAGCTCCAGGACTTTCTGAACGATGTAAAACCATCGCTCAAGTACGAAATCGTTCCTCTCTCCGACCCCTTCGGCCCCTCTGTAAGCGACCCTGAGCTGCAGTGCATTGTGGTCAGCGAGGAGACGAGGAAAGGGGGTGAAGCTGTCAACAGGAAGCGTGTGGAAAATGTGAGAACGTTATTGGTTGTTATCCAGTGCCTATAAAAGGCACTGTATCGTTAGACCAGAGAACCACAACCTTGATCTACAGTAGCTCAAAATGTATTTTTTGATAATAAAACAAATATACACTACTGTTCTAAAGTTTAGGGTCAGTAAGACTTTTTTTAAGAAATTAAGACTTTTATTTAGCATGTATGCATTAAATTGATCAAAAGTGACTGTAAATACATTTATAATGTTACAAAAATTGTAGAAATGCTGTTCTATTGAACTTTTTATACATTAAAGAACGAAAAAAATGTATCATGGTTTCACAAAAATATAAAGTTTTCAGCATTGATAATCAGAAATGTTTCTTGAGCATCAAACTAGCATATTAGAATGATTTCTGAAGAAGCATGTGACACTGAAGACTGGAGTAATTATGCTGAAAATTCAGCTTTGCATCACAAGAATAAATTATATCTTAAAATATATTAAAATAGAAAACAGTTATTTAAAATTGTAATAAGGTTTCATAATATTACAGTTTTTGTTGTATTTTTGATCAAATAAATGCAGCCTTAGTGAGCATAAAAGACTTGTTTAGAAACCTACCAGCCCCAAACTTTTGAATGGTAGTGTATAATATAATAATTATATCATTTGAATTTATTCATTATAAAGCTTATATCTGAAAGTCTTTGGCTCTGGCAGTTTAATGTGCATTTATTGTCACCCCTCAAATGTTTAATCCTCAGTAAGTCATAAACTAGAAATCTGTGAACTTTGAACTTGATTATCCACGTGAATTCAGTGTGCTTGTGACCATAGTGACCCCAGTGCGTTTGGACTTTGCTGCTGCCTACGTTTCACTGTTATTTGATCATTAATTTGCTTATAGTATGTGATTAAGTGATGTTTTCTGTGCAGGGATTGGCTGAACTGGTTTTGTACGAGATCCAGCTGTTGAAAGACGCCCATCATGCTGACATCGAGGAGGAGAAGATCAGTTCCTCCAGCCTGAGAACAAGATTGCTGGGCACGCTGCTCAAACCTCCATCTGTACGAACATCCTGCTCACTTGTTCATATTCACTAGCATCACATAATGCACTTCATCTATTGATCAATGCATCATGCATTAGTCCAAAACTGTTATATTTATGCATTTTAAACATTACTGGAGCATTTAACTATGTGTTATTGGAAAGAGGACTTGGTTAATAGTGTGTTTTTATTCAGGATGAATTGTTACATAGATGAAGTCTCATGTATAAAAAACTTTTGTTAAACAAAAAGCCTGACAGAACTTGTCCTGTGTCTTCCAGACATTCATTTAAAGAGACATGGCATTGTGACTGCTGTGTAATTTAATGAAGGCCATTTAGTCATGTGCATGTTGATCATGTGATGCATGATTTAGCTCAGCTGCTATTGCTTTTATCTATTGTCGTTCCTTTCAGAGATTATATATTTATTCATATAAAGTACCATTCATCATGATTTTTTAAATGTTTTAAAGAGGTCTCTTCTGCTCAACAAGGCTGTGTTTGTTTGATCAAAAATACAATAAAAACAGTAATATTGTGAAATATTATTACGATTTAATATAACTGTTTCCTATATGAATATATATTAAAATATCATTTATTCCTGTGATGTAAAGCTGAATTTTCAGCATCATTACTCCAGTCTTCAGTGTCACATGATCCTTCAGAAATCATTCTAATATGCCGATTTGCTGCTCAAGAAACATTTCGTATTATTATCATATATTTGTGGAAATCTTACTGACCCCAAACTTTAAAATCTTATAAATAATGCTAATTTTATCGTATGTGATGTTATATATTGTAGCGTTTCACTTAGCATTAACATTGATGTAGTTTCACAAAAGATTCAAGTTATTGATTATTACTTTGATTTCATCCACATAAAGGTAAAGCTCTTGGTATTGGTTTAATTTGCTGTTCTTGTGTTTGCAGCCGCAGCCGGATCTTCCTCTGGATCTGTATGTGATTGGTCTGACGGGCGGCAGCGGGTCGGGAAAGAGCTCTATAGCGCACAGACTGGAGGCTCTTGGCGCCGTGAGGATTGACTGCGATCAGCTCGGTCACGAGGCTTACCTGCCGGGAACATCCGCTTATCATAAGGTCGTCCAGGAGTTCAGCCCAGGTATGGAGAGGAGACGTTTATAGTCACTGAATGAATCTAGTTTATACTGGAATTCTGCAGTTTTTCCCTACAGAAAATGTGAAAACTGTTTTTTGTTTGCTTCTCTTTTGCTGTCAGATATTCTTAATGAGGATAAGAGCATTAACAGACGAGTACTGGGTGGAAAAGTGTTTGGAAACCAGGTGATTTAACTCAGCAGGTGATTATAATTGAATTCAGAACACTTGATTCAATCCTGTTCGTATTGTATTTGTGTGTGTTTGTTTTCCAGGAGCGTCTGAAAGCTCTGACAGATATCGTGTGGCCGGAGATTGCTCTGCTGGTGAAGAAAAGAATAGAACAAGCAAAAGAACAGGGTGAAGCATTTAGCACTTCCTTCTCATGCTTTTGCTGAGCTTTTTCTGTTTTCATTGCGATTAATTCTCACTTCCTGTTTTCAGGTGAGCGTGTCTGTGTGGTGGATGCGGCCGTGTTGCTCGAGGCGGGATGGACATATCTGGTGCATGAGGTTTGGGTGGCCACCATCCCAGAGGAAGAGGTTCTAAAGCTTTAATATAGACACACAGGGTTTTCTAAAGGTTGAAAAGTTTGAGAGCACATTCTAGGAATCAGATCACCTGTCAGATCCTGCTGATTTGCTGCTCAAGAAACATTTCATATCATCAATGTTGAAAATAGTGCTGCTGCTTATTTTTGTAAAAACTGTGATATATATTTTTGGTGAATATGAAGTTCAAAATAACAGCATGTATTTGAAACATTAATAGATGCCATTACTGTCACTTTTGAGAAATTTAAGGCGTCCTTACGGGATAAGTATTAATATCTTTAAATATATATATTTACTTTCTATTAATACAGGGATTAAAGTGTTCTTCCGTCAGTTCATAAAGACAGTCACTTGCTTCATTCCTGAATGATTCAGCCGTTCGAACGAATCAATTGAATGAATGATTCCATGATAAAATCAGTGACTTGCCGCCACCTGCTGGTGGATTTAGTTTCATTTTTAGCATATAATTTCAGTCAGGAGCGCTTGTCCTCCTAATTTAAAAATTTAGGAGCACCTTCTGATCCATAATCAAAAATTCTGATCAAAATTAGCCTTCCTAATACGAGGTGACATTTGACTCCTTAAAGTGACTTACAGGAGTATTTTCTTTTTACCTTTATAATGGCATCATTTTCATCTGTCAAATTCAAAAATTTATGTTTATAAACTTTTTAAATTTCTATTTAAAACAATAAGTAGAATAAGACATAAGTTACCAATCATATGAAATTAGTATTAATCAATTAATTTATACTACAGAGGTGGCACAGAAGAACACAAAAGTGGCTTGTAGGTACATTTCCAGACGGTTAATGAGGCTCAGAGGTGGCATGAGTGCAATTAAATTCATGTGGAGATTAATGTTTTAAATATACAATTTTGAATACAGAAATATTAAATGATTTAAATAACTGAAATTATACACTAGAAATTAAACTAAATCCGTCAGCAGGTGGCAGCAAGTCACTGATTTTATCACTGAATCATTCATTCAATTGATTTGTTCGAACGGCTGAATCATTCAGGAATTAGTCAAGTGACTCTTTATGAACTGACGGAAATCCGTCATAGTGACAGAAAACTTTAATCCCGGTTAATATATTTAAATGAAAAATTTCACTAGTAGTCAAAGACTAAGACAATATTAGGATATTCTAGCTGTGTTACCTCTCTTTTGGTCTCAGGCAGTGAAGCGTATAGTCCAGCGTGACGGTGTGAAGGAGGAAGACGCCTTGAGGAGACTGAAGAGCCAGTGGCTGAATGCAAAGCTGATAGAACATGCTAACGTAGTGCTGTGCACACTGTGGGAACCTGACGTTACTCAGCGACAGGTACACACACACCAGATCAGGAATGTGCTTTATTAACCTCAAAACATGCGGCTAATCATTGATGCATGTGTGTTTCCTCAGGTGTTGAAAGCCTGGACTCTATTACAGCAGAGGATTCAGAAGAGACTAGAAGAAATCAGACCTTCACCCTGAGACGGACTTCAATATGAATACAACCGGATTTCAGCGTTTTCAGAATTTAGTGAAATAGTTTAGTGACGGTTTCCTTAGTTGATCATTTCAGAAACAAACAAGAAATCATTTACCATTTGTTGCATCAAACATTTGTAACCTTCATAAACAAATGAGCCAGTATCAGTTCTTATGTTCGTGGCTCTTCTAATGTGGTGGAAGAGGTTTGGGACGGAAAACACCTTGAGCACTTTTAATAGACCTGCAATATGCGGTTTACCATTTTTTTTTGTGCCTGTTGTCAGAAATGTCATACTTGGTTGTCACACTGCCATTTATGTATTTTTGCAAACGCAGTTTTCAGTGTAAAAGGCTTTGATCTTGATCTTAGTGTAGATTATGCTTATTCTCAAAGAGAGATGGTTATTAATCTATATTGTGCCTCCTGAAGACCAAAGTTTAAAATGAATGTCAGTTTAACCCATAATAGACCAACTGGTCAGTGATCTAATGCAAATTCACAAAATGACTTTTGATGTCATTGTGATCAACTGTTTTAAGTTACCAATTAAAAATTATTTAATAAATTAAAACTTTTTTTTTAAATTCAAATAAAACTTTAATAAATGTAATCTTTATATACACACACATGCATGTACAACAAATTAAACTCTTAAAAACTACTTTGTCTTAAATTAAGCAGAATCAAACCATGCCCAGGCTCAGTAGAAAAACGCAATGCTCCGTCTCAATTAGTAAATGATGGCTAAAACTTTACACCAGGGAAAAGTGATAGAAATTGAACTTGAAACTATAACGTGACTGTGGAGTAAATTGTGATTTAAAAACCAACAATAGAACAATTCAGAAATAATGAATTACAACTGCTTCTAGTGACGTCAAACATGTGGATAGTTTGAAAGTACTTTTGTTTCACCATAATTTTTGCACATGGTTCCTAACGTTCGCTTAAAAAAATCCTGTTTTCTAAATTAAACCATGCCCAGGTTCAGTAGAAAAACGCAATGCTCCGTCTCAATTAGTAAATGATGGCTAAAACTTTACACCAGGGAAAAGTGATAGAAATTGAACTTGAAACTATAACGTGACTGTGGAGTAAATTGTGATTTAAAAACCAACAATAGAACAATTCAGAAATAATGAATTACAACCGCTTCTAGTGACGTTAAACATGTGGATAGTTTGAAAGTACTTTTGTTTCACCATAATTTTTGCACATGGTTCCTAAAGTTCGCTTAAAAAAATCCTGTTTTCTTCAAGCTTAACATTGTAGAGTTGGTGTTCTAGAGTTGCACGGTGAGTCTGGCAGAGCACAGCGCCTGTCCCAGACTGTTGGATGCACAGCATTTGTAGATCCCAGAATCCCCTGGTTGCACTTGAGCAAGGGTGAGTGTGCATGTGCCGTTCTGATCAGAATTCATCTGAACTCGTCCGTTTTTCTCCAGCGGCGCTTCATCAAACAGCCAAAGCACTTCAGGGTCAGGATATCCTGCAAACATTAGTCATTTCAGTGAATTATGGTCCAATCACGAACTTCTTGAAAACATGCTCATGTTTGGATGCAGTAGTTTGTAGTTTAATTCCCGGTATCCGCCAAACCCAGACTCGCCCATCAGACTGACAGAGGTACCTTGTATTGTACAGGCCAGGTGCACGGTGGCTCCACAGCCCTCAGTGAGGTCATGCAGGGCTTGATGGAAACGTGGTTCACTCCGCAACTGATTTTCCAGAGATGCCACAGCTTGCTCGGCCTCTTTCCCCAGAGCATTCGCTGAAAATACAGTTACAGAGACACCATGAGAGGACAAATGAATCATCCTCAGGTAGTTGCAGGGGAAAGTCACTTTTGTGCCAAGCCAAACATAATTGCAAAAGTAATGTATAATGGCTTTGAACACTTCATTTGTTGGACAAACAGGTACTCATGCATCTTACCATCTACAGAAATGGGAGACGGCTGTCCATCAGATTTGCTCCAGCGAGCCATCCTTGTTAGTGCAAGCAGGGCTTTACCAGCTTTCTGCAAGACAGAACCGATATGTACACGATTTGCAGTTTACCAAAGAGGTAAAAAAGCAATCCTGATGACAGCCTTCAGGAACTTCCATCAGTGAAAACCATCAGGCATCTTTATACTAAATCGGCTGAAGGCGAATAGCCTCCTAATTTCCATACCTTCCATTTCTGTCGGGCCAGGAACCTTCTCATCTTCTCTTTATTTAGGGATTTGGTTGATCTGGAGTTTGAGTCGTCAAATAAGGCTATCCAGGGATGAGCTAATGCTTTCTCACAGGATAATCTTGTTCTAGGAGAGTAAAAATGAAATAAAACATTCTACACATAGAATAGAATAGAATATGATGCTTAAATAACTTGCAGTCTACTTGCATTTTGCATGACTGTGGACTGAAAATGGTCAGTTAATTAAAAACAAGACTCCAATGAACATTATAAATCAAAGTTATTACAGCTAACTAAACCATTTAAAAAAAAAAAAAAAAGCTAGTTGATATTAAATTACATTTCAGCTAAAACGGAAATTTAAATAAAAACTACAGACATAATAAAAATTAAAACAAAAAAATATGAATAAACATTAGTTCTGGGCAACGATTAATCACAAATAATCGCATCCAAAACAAACGTTTTTGTGAACAATGTGTGTGTGCGGTGTATATTTGTTATGTATATATAAATACACACACATGACTGTATATATCTAAGAATGATGTTATGTTTATATATGAAATATATTTATATATCATATAAATTATATGAACAAATATACACGTAAATATTTTCAAAATATATACTCTATGTGCGTCTATATATACACACAATACACACACATTATAAACAAAAATGTTATTCTGGATGCAATTAATCGTTGCCCAGCACTAATAAAAACTGTAATGGTATTATGTGAATTATACTAAAATACCATTGTTACAGATCATTAGCAGAATATAGTAAAACATGCATGATGTGACCATGCTAATTTTGAGTCGCATTCCTTCGTTCACCTCTTATCCTTCCTCAGCAGGCCGCTGATGAAATCTTTGGCCTCATCGGTGATATCACCAAAACTCTCAGGATCAAACTCCCATTGCGCTGCAGTAACCAGAGCTAAGGTTTCGGCATCACTGTTTCCCTGGAATGGAGACTCGCCACTCAGCCTGGGAAACAGTGAAAAATAAATTACATCGAGCAAAAACGCACATATTAGTCGACAGAAATCGAAGTGCATCCATAACCTGCTTCACTCAGAACCCTTACAGTATGTAGCAGATGACACCGATGCTCCACATGTCGGTGGCCAGATCTACAGGCTCATAATTAACAACCTCTGGGGCCACAAACTCTGGAGTCCCGTGCAAGACCATCAGACGTTTACCATGCTCTGAAAAGGCCAAAAAAAAAAAAAAAATATATATATATATAAATAAATGTATACAAAAAAATTAATGTCTACATATTTTATTCTATACTCTATAAATTTGATATAAATGTATATAAAATGTGCATTAAGAGTCATCCGTATGAAAAGCGAGTTTTGTATTTTATATATAAAGCTGGACAGTTTTCAGTGTTAATTTGTTGAAAGTTAATCCAACGGGATTTAGTCCTGTTTATATACTGAAATTCCAAGATATAATATCAATTCTCAAGTTATCAGCAGTACAAAATAAATATGCACAATTTTAACAGGTTTTGTCCTAAATTAGACAAGACATATATTCAAATATGCCCTTACTACCAGAGTTTGATCAACATTTCTACATGAATCCATGTAAAGGCAGTTCAGAGTATTCTAAACGCATGTTAGAAATGTATTGCTGAAAACATGTTACACCGACTGTGAACTATGTACTACTTTACTTTAAGTTATTTAGCAGACGCTTTTATCCAAAGCGACTTACAAATAAGAAAAAGTAATTAAAACTAAAAGCTAAAACTCTATAAATACTAATATATATATATATATATATATAGTACTGAACTGTGGAGTTAAACAGCTAACAGACAGTTTTTTTTGTGTTCAGGATTTTTAGGGCGGGTCTGAAATCACGTCTCGATGACGCACTGGAGCCACTGAGCATGGCCCCTCCCCTAACACTATAATAACTAGAGCGCATTAGAATCAGTGGTTTGCAAGCTAGCTATGCCTGCGTCACGTAAATGCATATTTCCTGACAGACAGCAAAAGGTCTGGGATTGGAAACCTTGACCGCTTTAAATGGCCAAAGACCACTCAAAAGGCCATATGATTGACAGGTAAAGCAACCAATCACGTTTCATTGTGTCCCGCGCCATGTTTAGGGACAGACCTGGTGTGTAAACTCTTGGACTTTTTTTTTGCGATTTCTTCTAAAATATGCATGTTTAAACAGCAAAAAAAAAAAAATTTAATTGGAGTGAATTATCAGCAACTTCCATGCCTTTCACCGAATCAAATCACTCCCCTGTAGCTAAAATATATGTTTCTCATCTCCTGTAATAATTATAATAGATCAATAGACCTTTTCCAGAAGGATGTTGTTTCAAAACCAAATGTAATTGCATATTGGAGTAAATTTGTGAGTGATGTTGACTGGACAAAAGTCTGGCTTCTGCCCAATCGATATCTCAAATAATGTGAAAGTATCCTTTAAGCTTCTCCACAGAATATACCCTGATAAACATTATTTAAAGGGGTCATATGATGCGATTTCAAGTTTTCCTTTCTCTTTGGAGTGTTACAAGCTGATTGTGCATAGATAAGATCCCTGAAGTTGCAAAGACTGTCAACATATTCTGTTACACCAAATACACAAAATAATTCTTTTAAAAAGCATCATATGACCCCTTTAATTAAATTTAAAAAAAGATATAGATGTTAGCTGTAGCTTTTGCAAGCATAAGCCGGAGACAGCTGTTCATTTATTTTGGCACTACCCTTATGTGTCTTTCCTGGCGGAATGTACTTGACTTTATTGTTGGAAATGTTGATGGAGATTTTATTTTACAGTGGAAAGATGTTCTTTTAGGCATTACTGTAAACTCCAAAGATAAACAGACCTGCACTTATTTTATAATTTTTTTTTATTTTAATGGCTAAATTTCATATCCAAAAATGTAAATTTTCAGGTAAAAAAAAAAAACGCTTTATAGCATTTAAAAATGAAGTGAAATATATTGAATCTATATTACCCTCGAAGAAACAAAAAGCTATCCGAATTTTGGAAGCATGTACACTTTTTAATGTATTCCTATAATTGTCTATATCTCCCCCTAGCATTCCATATTTTTGTATTGTTATTGTTACTGTATGGATTGTTTAATTCGGTACAATTAATTAAAAAAAAAAATTTGGAAGTTTATTTTTTTTTATTAATGCCAAGATACCAAAAATAAAAGCACAGAAAATATCAACATTGCATACAAAGAGGTGACATTACATGCAAAACACTGTTTATACATGTACAGTATATAACAACAAAAAAAACGAAAGCTTTAACAAAATGGATTAAAAAGATTAAATAAATTAACTTTTAAAAGCTTTAAAATTCTTGGATGAAATATACTAGTCAACATTTGAATGTGATCAGAACCTTTCATCAAAGTTGTCCTAAAACCAAAATGCATTTTTGTCTTAGGACAACTTTGATGAACTTTTTTGATCCACTTCAAATGTTGACTACTGTAATTGAACCTCTTTTTTTAAAAGATAATAATTAAAGGATTTTGATGAGTGAATTTACTGTGGTGAATATGAAATTTCGCAAGTAGTAATGCACAGTGTTGGGGGTAATGCATTACAAGTAACGCGACTTACGTAATCAGATTACTTTTTTCAAGTAACTAGTAAAGTAACGCATTACTTTTTAATTTACAAGAGAATATTGTTTATGTCTATGGCGAATCACGCAGGCACTGGGCTACTCCGCAGCGGTTCCTACCAGAACCAGTCTAAAATAATCCGAGTATAAACACTTATTATAGGTGTACCGTAGTGATTCAGGATAAGCCAAAAACACGGTTTGGAAAATGGATTAATGTTGTACTCGCTCACTATATAAATTTTGTAAATTTCGAAAAGGAAAAAAAAAAAAAAAAAGTTACAGAATGCAGCTTTAAATTAAAGGTCATTTAAAAAAAATATAAAAAAAAAATACATAAAGGTGCATTAAGCAATATTTTAAAAAACTATTTTGACCACAGTGTCGGACCGAGTCCCAAAACACACTTGCAGCCAAT